CCTCATCACGAGTACCGGCCGACGTGTCGTCAGCCGAATCTTGATCAAAATCCAAGTGGCAACGGCGTCAGCGTCGTCCTCTCCTCCATTTCCTCATCCTCGTCGGCCCCACGAAAAGCGCGATTCCACGAGGAATCAATATCCTCCGGCTCCAACGACAAGTCAGGAACGCTGCGTGGACCGAGGACGTCGAAAGTCGCACCTGAAGGGAGGAAGAACGGCACGTGTGTGTTGCACGGAACATACACCGTATTGTACGGGTACTGCTCCGGACAAGTCAATAAATCCACGCGACATGGCTCCGACACGTCCACTAGCGCAGCCTCTGCACACCAATCTGCCGACCCAGGAACCTACATGAGATTCTCCATAGTGTAGGCAAGTTCAGCAGAGTTTCGATTGAGAGCGAGGCATCGGGACCGACACATCAAGGTCACATGCGGCCAATAAGAGAATGTCCGCAAGTTGTCGGCTCGGTCCGCACGTGCCCTGTTGTACGTGAACCACACCTTCTTCAAATTTTCGAGAGCTAACTTAAACTGGCGACGCTCCTTAGGATCCTTAATAGTCCCGAGCCGAGCAGTCATCCGAGCGAATAAGCGCTTGACAGCCTCAGGAGAGACCCAGTGTTTGCGCGCATACATGGCGAAACTCATCATGGCCGACTTCTTGTTGCCATACCCGCGAAGCCGGCGCCAACTCCACAAAGCCGCTCCGGATAGTCGGCTCGCTGAGAGATGTGAGAGTCCAGCTGGAAGTCGGTAGTGTCGAAGAGACAGGCGTGCTCTGGCCACATGGATATCGCCTTTCGTCATAGATGGTCGGTGGCCATAATCTTGCAAACCTTCTCGATGCTAACCGTCGTGCACTTAACTTCAGCGTCGGAAGGCACGGGAGAAGGCAAAAACGACTGCTCGAACTTGACCCAGTACTTCTGCGCACTGACGGTTGTAAACGCAGGGGCCACATACGGAGTCAGCAGGTTGGAAGCGCGTTGAACAAGCTTAACCAGCTCTGGATACTTCGAGATCCTGTCAGGTAAATTAGAATCCAAGGAAGACTCGTCAGCGATGTCCCGCGACTTCGCCTTCTTGGAGGGTCGAGAAATCTATGGAGACGACTTGGATTTCTTTATGGGAGCCGTCACTTTCTTCGGCTTAGCCGACGACCTCTTCTTCTCAACCGACTTGGGTGAAGCCTTCATTTTACCCTTAGGCGAAGGTTTTGAGTCAGCCTTGGTAGCCGGGAGGGGCTTGGCCTTGGGCTTGGGGGGAGAAGTCCCCTCGTCATCAGAATTCTTGACAAGCGGGTTTTTGGGAGCTAGAGTGCCGAGGACACCGTCGAGAGAATCATCGAGGCACTGGCTCTCCGGACGGAGCTTGGAGAGCTGGCTGTCCTCATCTTTGTGAGCTTCAGAGCCTTCTGACGCCGAAGAATCGAGGTCCTAACTCGACTCAGACTCGAACTCAGATGAAACTGAAATGACGGATTCATCCGACGACGAGTAGCCAGGTGTAGCCTTGGTGCCAGACTTTTTAGAACGAGACTTGGTAGACTTGGAAGACAGAGACTTGACCGACTGGCAATTCGAAGACTCAGAAGTGAGAGACTTGATGTCTGAACGTGAACCCCCAGCCAAGCGAAATGAGGGCCGGAACTCGGAACCCATGGCGGCCTTGCGCTTTGGGGTAAAGCGAGGACTCAATGTCGACTCAGTATCATACACCGCCACATCTATCTTCTTGGGAGCAGAGCCAGCCTTGTTGTGAACGGGTGCGGGACCACTTGGCTTGCCCGACGATGACTTGGGCGACGCCTGGGACTTCTTCGCCTGAGCTGGAGGAGTGGTACGAGGAGAAGCCTTCTGCTTCTTCGGCAGTGGTTAGGAGGTCGTCGCTGAAGAGGAACTTACCGAATACTCGCGGCCACCTTCAGAAGCGTCCTCACCAGAGTTACCACCACCGAAATCAACATCCTCGTCATCGCTACCGGTGCGCTATCGCTTGGCCTTGCCTTTGCCCTTCTTCCCACCGAAAACTGGTCGGGCGGGAGGCGTGAAGGCAGGCGGCGAGGGGGCTGGAGAAGCAGTCGAGGACTGAGACTGTCCAGCAGGTGTAGCCAAAGACGGCGCAGAACTTGAAGTGGACCCAGCGCCAGTGACGACGACTGGAGGCCCAGTCCGCGTAATGGAGAGCGACTGTGAAGACGACGGAAACGGTGCAGGTGCTGCCACCGAGGCTTGCGGGACGCTCGGAGCTGGACTTGAGGTTGTGGATGTGCTGAAATCTTGAGCGACTGGAGTAGACGGCCGGCGCACAGAGACCGTGAGTGGAGAAGGAACAGGCAAACCCGCAGCAGCAGCTGCTTCCTCAGCCTTGCGCTCCGTTTCAGCGCGTATATCCGAGAACCGAACATTCGCGCGAGCGATGTCGTCGGCGAGTGAGTCCCGGTCTCGACCATCCGACAATCCAAGTTTATAGACTGCCTGCAGAGCACGGCGAGTCTGAGGGTCGGAAGCCAAAGTCTCCCAGTAGATCTTGTCGAGCTCAAGACCTGAATTCAATGGAAACAACTAACGATCCGTCAGCAAAGAGACAGATGAGCACCTGGAAACTGGAACTCACCTTCAACCATGAGGACCAGGGCTTCAGGGACCATGTCTTCAAGCCGAAGGCTCGAACCGAGAGCCGAGGTAGCTTTCTCGAGGGGCTTGACCCGACGAACGAGATCCCAGTGACGCTTCCAAAGCTTGAGTGTCAGGGTGGTCTCGGTCGGGGCGGTGAGTGACAGGAGCTTGTAACGGTTTTCGTGAGACTTCTAGAACGGTTGAATCCCAACCAGATACTCGGAGCGAGCATGGTTCTCCTCCTTGGTCAAAATCTCGTTGCTGAGAATCGCCAACTGCATCCGGTTCTCGAGGCGGTCATACATCTCTTGGTGGCTCTTGATCACAGCATTCATCTCGCTGATCTGGGCGATCAACGAGGCCTCGCGCGACTTGACCAGCTTGATCTCCTTGTGCACGGCGTCACGGTCGGCTGAGAATTGTTGAGCCTAAATCTCCGCATTAGCACGAGCATACTGCTCCGAGAAGAGCTTGTTTTCCATGACGGCACGAGAAGGTTCTGCCGATTTGAGGGATGCTTGAGCTGCAGCTAGCTCTCGTCCAACCTCAGTCAAGGAATCGGCAGGGACGGGTTCGCTGCGCATTAGGATGTCCTCGAACGATCGCGCAGCATCCAGTCGACGCTTGAAGGTCGTTCGACCACGGATATTCGGTCCCCAGTGGAGCGTGGCGTAAAACCGCAGCATCTCGGCGAGCCGGCCATCCATCGCC